GCGACTGAGATGACTCGAGTACACATCATATGGTCTACGCATACATTCCGAATCATATTATTCAACACAGACTATTACCAGAAGCTAACTCAAGAGCAGCAGAAGCGGATATGGGTAGAACCGCATGTCTCTGAAGAGCCGACGCAAGAGCCCCAGTCACGACCATCGGGAGTTTGCGCGGACACAACACCACCACTGAATGCAAGGCGAAGCAAGTGGTGAGGAAATGATCGAACGTCGCATAGAATATTTGCACTTACAAGTTGTCACAGATGACATGCGAGCCATCACTGTAGGCACCACAGATTCCACCACTCTTCGAGTCAATAACACCACAGCCATTAGCAACAATCACGGCGCCCTAGGAGGAGTGGCGCCATCGCGAGAAAGTCTTATAGCTTATATTAGCTTATAATGGTTCAAAATATGTAAATACTGTGAAAACTGTAAAATGCAAAATAATTGATCTCAATTTCTGAGAAACAGTATAAGGCATTATAAGATCCAAAAGGTTTGTCAATATTCAAAAGGTCTATTAGTATTTCAAGCCTAAGGAAAGCTTGCTGTTCTTTATAATAAGTAAAGACATTGTATACATTATAAGGCATAAAAGATTTGTTCACATTATAAAGGTACATAAAGTTTTTTATCCCTTGCAATAAGTAAAATGACTTATATTTGATCTCGAAAATGATGAGGAGTATATACTATAGGAAGGATGGTATTAATTATAATGTATGCAAATTAATATAACAGTCTAAAAGACTGTTCCAAACCAATATACATTTTTCTGCCTTATAATGTTGACAGAAGCCTTACTAAAGAATTGCAATGTATATACAAACTCTACTTATATTCATTTTACTTTTTTGCCCTTACATGCATTAATAATGATTCAAATTATTTATATTTTCGTGGCAATATTATGACGTTACTAAATACTAATTATAGCACTAACAGGTGCAGGAGCAAGAAGAAAAGTGGTGAAAGCAGAAAGCATACTGTATGAGTGTCAGGGCAAGAAATGAGACAAACGGCTGATCTTGTTAACACAAAGCAAGGGAAACGGTTACAAGACTTGCTAAATGAGGCAAGTAAGGTGAACGTCAATGTGTAGAATTAGAAAGTGGAAAAACAAACCTAAACCTCATCCATGTGTGTATTGTCTGGCAGGTGAGTGTCTTGCATTTGAGTAGCCAGTCCTTGACCCTGGCCAGCCAATCCTCCTGCTTGAGACTGTCCACACCCTTCACAAGCCTTCTGAGCTCTCAAAATGGCTGCAATCAATAACCCCTCATCCTCCTCAGGTTCAATAGTGAGCAATTCACCAGAGGAGCCGAAAACCTGTCTAGAAACCTGGTAGTTAGTTAATGTAGCTTTAAGTAAATTTAAAAATGTATAAAACATACTCATTCCACCAATTAAGTGTGTCCTGGACCCATAGAGACTCACAGTCTTCGAAAAACTCAAGAATAGTGTAATAAAACACTTTGAAATTAAAATTTTCATTGACCTTGCCAAAGGTTTCAAGTGTTGAAATAAAAAAGCATGCCTATCATATCAAAAGTATTGTCAGTGTTGCTAGATTATATTACTATTACAGCCTGAGTACTTACCTGGACACATATGTAAGCAATCATCTCTGGGGTGACAGACTTCATGCCTACAATCTCAGCATTATTTGCCTGTGTTGTTTTACCTTTGCTACCAGGCTCAGCATCTGTAGAACTTGGGCTTGTAAAGATCAGCTGAAGGCACTACAAAAGAAGTATCAGTATTTGTAAAGAATAATAGGAGTGTACTTACTTTGACAAGAAAACAGTCTTAGAATAGGCCCTTGTCCATTACTTCTGGATTGTATGACCCTTCCTCATACAGGAATGTAGGGAATGACCTATGTGTGATCAGGTATTTTTTTGACTTTACATTGTCTTTGAAACTATACAGTAAGGATATGAGTAAGAGTGTTCATTTTTTGTTTGACTTCATCTGTTGGTCTGTAGCATACCTTTCCTCACTACTGTGTGCATACAGGAGTAGTATTAGTACAATCATCTGTAACAATTGTGGATAGTGTATACCTCTGCCCATCTTACTTGGTTGATTGTCAATCAGTGGTTCCAGCTGGCCTTCCTTGAGCACATAGTAGTGCCCCCTCTGTTTGAGTGTAGATGTGTTGTTACTACAACCTTGCTCTGCTTTCTTGTTCACCTAAAGTAAATAGAATAGATTAGTATTATTAGTGACTACAGAATACAGTGTGTGATAATGAAAGTCTGATGACAGAGATGGAGAATGAATTCTGAGGGAATGAAGATAGATAGGGATAGTACACACACACATGCATTGGCTGTAGAGTGGACATTGGTTGCAAAGTTATTTTGTCTGTCAACTAGAGTAGAACAGTAAGGAACATGATAGAATGGATAGGTACAACTTTATTGTGTTATGCACATACCTCAACCCAAAGTGCCTTAGCCTCTGGACTAGAAAGTGCTTCATAATAGGCTCTCTCATTAGAAAAGAGTACAAGGACACTCTTATAAACCCTGAAGAGAAGGTCCTTCTCTTCTTCACAACTGACACAGAGTTGTTAGTAATTGCCAGAGGAGCAGAATATAATCAAACTTATGCATTTGTAATAACTCTCTTACAAAGTTCTATGTCCTTAGTGTCATAGTTTGTAGCTGTCACTTCCATTCTTGAATACATTTTAAGAGATTCAACAGCTATACTATAGTTCATAGCACCTGGAATGTTAACCCAAAGGTTAATGTTCTGCTTGATAGACTGTGAGAGCTGACATATTTGTTTGAGTGTGTCTCTGTACCTGTGTATTATAAATGTTATAAGTGAATGTAATAGTATGTAAAAACAACAAGATGACACACTTGATTTGCTTTGAACAGCCAGATTTTGTTACAAGGCTCCTCTCCTCAAGTGTTTACTGTTTTGAAGGTAGTAGGACACTTGGCAGAGAAGGAACCTCACTCAGGTCAAGGCTTGGTGCTTGTCCTTGGTTGAGAGGGGGTAGGGAGGACAACCTGAGTTTGTATGAGTGAAAACAAACTGGCTGTTAGTATTTATTCTGGATAAATGTGTCATATGTCTTAGACATGTCTTCCAAGACATACATCCAAGACACACAATATTAGATAGCATATATAATACTTAATATAAGGATGATGAAGCTCACAGGACACATATAACAGTACATGACACATTACCAACTATGCAGTTGACTTGTATCAATGCCTATACACTATGAGCAGAGCCTACTGAACCCCTACTAGTGTGAACTACTCTAAGGGAATCATCATGACCTCAAAACACTAACAGGTTATGAGCCTTGCACTCCCTGCTCATGTCTACATTGTTACTATGCTTTTATCTTACCCTCTACGAACACGACTCTTCGAAATCATCATCTAAATGATTATGATTCCTCCTCACTGGCTATATGCATGACTATATACACCACAATTGTCATTGCAAACGCTTTGGTGTACTATATACTATAGTACAAATGATATGATATGCTCAATCATACTAAACTCAATAAGTATCATTGAACTACTCCATTTAATGCTGAATCAATTTGATTCTACATGTACAATCCATTCTAATTGTCTACAAACCTTTGGTGCTCTCATCTGAGCATACCAAATGTGAATTGTCTTGTCTGGAAGACTATGATTGCTTTATACAACAAGATATGATATGATACTCATAACCAGAACGTATTATCTATGTGGACCTAGACACACCTGTCTGAGCATCCCAAACACACATCAATTTATTAAACTAACAAGACATGTATTGGATACACAATACAAGACATATATTGGATACAGACAATGTATCAGATGTCTAAAACATACAGACAGATGAACTAGTTGCTTTAAATGTAATGAGTACTCAATAATACTATATCCAAATGCTGAATTACTTCATCTTACACTACAGAGACACATTATATTAATAATGTCTCACATAACAAACAAACATTTGATAGTATATCAATAATATAAATGATTAATACTATAAACGAAAGAACAACACTAGCAAAGCATAATAACAATATAAAGAAATATATTGCAAACGTATAATCAATCTAATAATGATTAGGCAAACGAATAAAATGAAAACAAGAGTATAAATGCTACTAAAGTATAATAACTTGAATATAAAAACAATTTATACTATCACAAATGAACGATCACAATAAATAACATATATTTACAAAATACAAACATATCACATAGATAAACAAATATACAAACGTACAAAGTAATAATAATGTATTTGAATGCATAAAACTATTAATTGTTGAATAACACAATGTTGTATGCAAAATACAATCGAACAAACACATAATAACACATAAAACAAGTAATAAAACATACGAAACAATGTTGCAAACAGTCTAAACATATAATAACAAACATATATACTTATACAAAGTATTACATTAAATTAAAACATAACACTACAAACGATGAAACAATATAATGATGCATATATACATAATATCAACACAATATCAATACTATACAGGCAAATACATATCTTATACCTTGCACAATTACTATTACAATACAAAATTGAATGAACAATAGTTACAAATACATTGTAACAATATAATATATTAATAAGATATACATGATAACAAAGTATTAAGTTAATACAATTAATACAATCAGTATAAACAATATAAACAATTAAATATCACTTAAAAACATGACAAAATACAATAATACAGACATAAAACAAAACAACTAATGCTACAAAACATTAGAGCCTAATATCAGATAGTCTGAAGGGCCATATGACAGAACAAACACTACTGCCAAGTACACAAAAGACAAACAAACGTTAGAACAAAATCCAAAGAAACAAACATAAGTTCAGAACTTGATTGAATGCTTTACAAATGATTAAACACAATGTGTGACAGATTTAATAGATCACTACAAACGGCAGAAAGATAGAATTTGTAAAGAATAAATCTATGATCAATACTTAAAGCATATCATTAGCTATTTGAAGTTCAAACAATATCATAATAGTGTATTCTTTGTTAACAGCCTTGCTTGAGCTTGCACCTATCACAAAAGAATAAAATACATAAACAGAACAGAAACAAAACACTATAGCTCAAATACTTTTGTCATCAAACGGAAGACAAACAATACTGAACAAATCTAAACAATGTATCATAATGTATACAAATAAAACGAACGAAATTGCAAACTTATGCTTGCTAAAACAACACTATACCAAATGATTAACAAACTATTCAGACGTACACATAATAATCAAACAAAATACATGAGCATACACACAATCTATTTGAGTATAAACTTGAATAACAAAAAGTACAAATGCTATAAAGAATTAATAATGAAATCAGACAAAAATAATGAATAACATTAAAGTTATTGAACAAAACACATTCATGCATTAATACACAATGCTTAAACGAATGATTAAATGATGAAAATGTATGAACAAATTAATTACACACACACAAAAGCCAATTGCTCAAAGCCAACCTTCTTGAATTGAAGGGGAGTAATAGTATATATTCACAAACATAAAATTCACAAAACATAAAACATAATGAATAATAGAAACATAGCAAACGATTAAATGATGTGGAAATATTGACTACATCACTATTTAACCTTGCACATCCCACAAAACATAATTACAAAGTTATTGCAACAAATAAGAAGCAAATCTGTTGAATTCAACAATGAAATACCTATGTAAGAGACATTTTCTCTGAAATCTTTAATGGTCACACTATACATGGCACCAATTGAACGTATTATGAATGAATATATTACAGAGCATATACCTAAACACAAAGAAGTATGCTACATACAAAGATGTTGAGCAGAAAAGCATCTCTAGTGTATATTGAACTATACAGAATTATAGAACAGAACTATGTCTTCCACAACAGAACGTATGTTACATCAAAAATAACAATCATGCATCACACAAAACTTACAACACTTATTCCCTAGCATGCAGGACATAATAGCAAACAAATAATCAACCAAACAAAGTAATATTCAGACAGATAATTAAGAATTAATACAATGTAGCCAAGGAATGGCACATATTCCCAAAGCAATTGACACTAGACGTGTGAAGCACTTGTATAAGTTAATTAAAAGAAGCAACAGACATAACAGTGATCAAAACGTTAATCCTTTTGAAAGCAAACAAGATAATGTTGATCATAATGAACAAAATGAGTAATACACTCAAAATTAACAAAATAAATTCATATCTCATAACAAACACATGCATATATTCAGCAAATAAAGTGAATATAATGATTAAAACAATATTAAACGGAATTTGACACGAAATAAGCAATAAAACAAATGAATATTATGATATATGATGAAAAATAGAACTGTGAAGCACACTACTTCATCTATCTATGAAATAAAAGCAACAAACACATATTATAACTGTGCAGAGCAATATATTAATCGAATAAACATTATGTAATGATAATAAAACATTATCACAACAATAAAACAATACAAACATACAAATAACGTTATAGTTTGTAAAAGTCAAAGGACACATTAAATGATAACAAACACAATACACACATATATTGATAATAAATATATCT